GACTGAAGCTTTTTCCGAACCCTTTCCATTTGAGCCCCTAATACTCAAATAAGGTCCATTCCCATGAAGCTTTGCCCATCAAGGCTTTCTAGCATAACAAACGAGGCCATAGCTGTGAAGTATTGTATAAGACACGTGTAAGTTTTCAAAATATTCGAGTTTTGATGCTGCTTCTTTGCGATTTTTCGACTAGTCACATACTAAAACGATTTTTAAAGTATCTTTTCCCCCGTAGTTGGCAATTTGGCCCACCTRGAGGCAATTTAGAGTGGTTTTACTGTCTAATATAGTTGGAACTTTTTGAGGCATCCTCTTTAAGTTGTAAAAGCTATTCATCGAAAGGAGCGATGGAGGAGCATCGGAGATTCCTCGATAACAGATGTCGTATCTGTAGTGTTTCCTTGATAGGAGAAGTCACAAGTCAAGAAAGAAAAGAAAGAAAATACGGCAAKACTTAATATTTTATGTGAAGGAATTCAACGATTGCTGGGGCATAAACATTGAAGAGGAAAGCAGCGATAAAATCGAGGCGTTGGGATTGCTGCTATATAAGTGTGCTAAGTATCTTTGATAAATAAATACAATACAACTCTTATCWTGTGTTGTGCTTTCATTACAAACTACTAGTAGATTTTTACTGAAGAATGAATTCCATATACTTGAAGCTAGGAACTCAAATCACCTTGATTTAATACAAACGAACGTGCGTTGCTRTGTGACGGTTCGGGACTACTCGTGGGCTTTAACAAATAATCGGCCCTCTTTCGAAGCGTATTATCAGCCTTAGTAATTGTTCAATTGATAGTTTTCATGTGAGTAGATTAGGATTTTTATTTATAACATTTACTTGATGAGCAACAACTAACAAAAACCTTTTGCTCGACGATATCAAAACAAAATACGAGCGTTATCAAATTCGCAGTGTCTAAACGTCAGGCAGCCTGACGTTTAGTCCCACGACTAAACGTCAGGCAGTCGATTTTTTTCTTTAATGACCGTTCTATGACTAGCTAATTCATGCATAAGATGCCCTTTTACGCAGGGCTATCCATATTTATACTTTAAACAGTCCAGGATTAAATGGTAATCAATAATATATATATAATTAATAAATCTTTTATTATATGGCTTTTATATCGTGTATTATGTATAACAATTACTTA